GTACTACAAGAGGCCTGACCTCCAGAACATAATTCCGGATATTTCTGGGTGCCCCCCCCAATATGTTTTTCAACTGTATATAAGAAAGTGTCTGAGGCAAGATTATTTTTGAACTTTCTTATAACTATTTTAGTGTTTCAGAAATTACAAATGAACAAAATCACTATTCCAGAAGAACAAACCTGACATCTATTTATTTGTATTGAGTTTACAATTTTCAGTGCATAATGAGGCTGCTTCCTTCTTTTAATCCTATCACTAATGAGTAGTTCTTACAATTGAACAAATTTTAAGAAAACGACAAAATGGTTTGTTTCATTGTTGTCACTTTCCCCCCATTAAATTAATGAGTCATTCAAATATTCTACCAAGATATCGCTCAACACAAACGATCTAAAAGACTTTTCAGCCTCATTAATAGAGTACATTGTTTATAACCTTCAATAAAGGAACAGTTAGTACTGGAAACTTCTGTCGAGTTATTATGTATTCAAAATCTGTATGACATTTCAAAAACATTTCCCTACATGGAGCTTTTAAGTAAAAGCTAAGAAAACACAGCGTGGTAAATAGTGTATCTTCCCTAATCTTTAAAAATAAATTACTTCTGGAAAAAAATTATTTTTAAGCCACTGAATATTTTCTTGCAGAGCAGACAGCAAAATTCCTTACAAGTGGATCCTAGGAGACAGATTTTTCTTCCCCTAATCCTGCTCCTTTTCGGTGTAGAGCATAATCCTATCAAGTGTTAGCTAATCACTTTGTGTACTGCTACACTGTCTCCAAAAACCCCCTCCTTAAACTCAAAACAGGTTTTACTCTGCTATTTTAAACAAGCATAATTGATGAGCATACCTTAAGACATTTGACAGTTGCAGTAATGTCAAATTGTGCATGTGTGCCCAGGTTACCAACCACAAAAATCTTCCTATTTCTCTTAAGTGGCTGTGTTTCATCATCATACATAAAGCTATTTACTATGTGAAGGAGAAAATCCATATACGTGTAAATCAGAGGAGAGACTCTATTCACTAACAAATTATTTCATTTCTCTACCTATGAAGTTCCTAGTTAACATCCACATCAGAGCTGTTGCAAACATCAAATGAATTCCTCCATGAAAGTTATTAGCTGGGTAAAAAGAACATAATAAGCACTCAATAAAGGCTAGCTCCTTCCTCCTTCAGTTCTGGGCCCTCTGTTCTTTGTTCCTAGGCTCATTCACCCAGATGACTCAGCCATCTCACGCTTTTATTAGAAACTGCTGAAAACTACTACATCAGTCAAAGTCCTGATGTGCAGATGCATGCCCAGTGTGAGAAGCTATCTGTCCCTGCTTCGAGACACTTAGGTGATAAAGGAAGCAGTGACCCCAACACCTGGACTTCACTCTAAAAACCACCACTGAGGTGGACAAATCTCTACCTGTTTCCAACTATCTCCTGGAAATTTGCATTGCTATCTCAAAATCCCTGACATCAAATTCATGATTATCTCTTTAAAAATCAGGCCCTCTTCCAGTCCCTTTTATAACTGAGTGGGGTCCAACAGAACATAATCCTCGCCCTATTCTTTCGTCATCTCAATGTCGGCAGGTCTACCCGCATAATCTCTACTGTATCTCTGGGCTCATTTTCTGATCCCCTGCACCACGAGTCCGGGTCAGACTGTCTCAATCTCAGCACTATTGACATTTTGGGCCAGACAATTCTTTGCTTGGGAGTTTGTTCCCTGCATTGTAGGATGTTTGGCAGCATCTCTCACCTTTATCCACCAGACGCCAATATAACTGCTCCCCCCCCACGAGTTACGATAACCAAAATGTCTGCAGACGGTGCCAAATGCCTCGGAGGACAAAGCAATCGCCCTCACCAATGCCTTCCCCCCTCCTCCATTTGAGTACCTAGGCCCAGTTCCTCACCATTTCATAAATACATTTAGAGAATCAGTCCCCAAATTCACCTCCAGTTTCTTCCCTCTAACTCCTGTCCCACTGATCTCCTAAAGAATTCCTAAAGCCCTGATTGGTGTAGCTCAACTGGTTGGGCACTGTCCTGTAAAGCAAAAGGTCACAGGTTCGATTCCCCATCAGGGCACATGCCTGGGCTGCAAGTCTGGCCCCTAGTCAGGGTATGTACATGAGGCAGCCAATTGATGTTTCTCTCTAACATTGATATTTCTCTCCCTCTCTTCCCTTCTTCTCTAAAAATAAATAAATAAAATCTTTTAAAAAAGAAAGACTTTCTAAAGCACTGCTTTTATGAGTCATTTCTCTTACATCTACAACTTTGTTACCTTCACAATTAGTTGAAAGCTCTCCACCCGGCCTTGATAATTTGGCCTCAATTAAACATTATCCCACAGAGCAGCTCGCACACCGAGTACCTAGCAGACCTTTAACAACACAGACCTGTTTGTTCAGCCAGCCCCTCCTTTTCTATTCTAGTGTGGTTGCTCCGGTTTAAATGCCCATTACCCAGCAGCCATTCCAGACCACTAGGCGAGTCTCCGTCCCCAGCCTCTACTGTCCTCCTCACTCAAAGTCAAAAATGATCAGTGAGTTTCCACTGCCTCCTGAAATATGAAATCTTCCATTTGTTCTTTAGAGTCTCCCTAGTATAGTCTAGCTCTGTGTTCCATTACCCCGAAAACATACTCTACCTTTGGCACGACCTACCAGCTAGTCCTTGGAAAGGTTCCTACACTTTCCACCTTTGGTCATGTTTTTTTTTCTGTGCCTGGCAGTCCTCTTAATCCCACTGCCCTCCCTCCACACTAATTTAGAGCCCATATGAACTAAGAAGCCCTTCCTGATCATACTTTCGGTGTACCTTTCCTGTGGTATTCACATTCTGCTTTACATCACACATGTATTCCTGTAGTTTACAAGGTCCCGAGAGCTTACTCTTGATGCTGTGGGATGCCTGGCCCAGTGCTAGGCAGATAACTCAACATCACATGTGCGTTTCCCCCTTTGAAAAGCAAAGGAGGGCCGTGTTTTCAGGCAATCTCAAACTGCCTTAAGGGAACTAAATCCACATTCTCTCCCCTTCGTCTCACATTTTATGTCTTAAGCCAATTTTTAAGTAAACAGCCTTCAAGATACCCAGACTGCTATTTAGTATAAATTACTGTAAGAGTTCTGCTTTAAGGAGTTCCCATAGCTTCCAACTTGTAACTGAATCCAGAATATTTATGCTATTTAAGTTCTCTCTTTATATAAACAGGCAACAAAAATTTATTCTTCAATGTTAATAAAATTAAGTGAAACATGAAAATAACTAGATTGGATTAAACATATTTCAAGCAAAGGTTAATTAGTGCTAATTTGTCTATCCTAAGTAATACAAAGTCCTAAAAAAATCAGTCTGTTTATTTCAGTTCTTCCACCCCAAAGACATAAACCGAAACAGAACATGGGAGATCTCTCCTTAATTTTAGTTCCTAAATGACCTGAAGTTATGTTTTGTTATTTCTAGAAAAAGACCATGTTCTGACCAGACCAAAACCATATGAAGACAGTATCCTTTAGCAGGGTCAGCAACCTAGAAGCCCTGTTTTACATGCCCCTGAGCTAAGAATGGTTTTCACATTTTTAAAGGGTTGTAAAAAAACAAAGAATATGGGACAGAGACTGTGGCAGGAAAAAGCCTAAAACCCTTTTTCTTGTTCAGCAGCACGAATGTGAAACTCCTAGTTGTTAGCATGTAAGACACCCAGTTTTCCTCCCAAGTTTTTAAAAAAGCAATGTAAAACATACAAGATTGTGTTAAAAAAAAAAGTACTCTTTCAACTTAGTCATAGTTACTGCAAAGGTAACCTCTAAAACAGGCCTGTGTGGATTTTTATACTTCCCAGAATTTTTGTTAGAAAAAACTTGACTCTCATTGTAGAAATGAGCACATTTAGCTTGAAGAGCGAAGTGCCTGACCAAAAGTCACAGTGTTAGTTCACGACAGAGTGGGGTCCAAGACCCAGGCCTCAAAACTCCTGATTTCTGCTCTCTGCAGTCCACTGCATCAAAACTATGCGTTTGGCTCTAAGTTTTGGAGATTTGGACAACTAGCTTCAATCATCGCATAGATAAAAAGTGAAGACCTGTGTTCCTGATAGGCTGTTTAGACAGACGCTTACCTGCAGCTATGAATCATTGAACAGTAACATTAATGCCCACCGCACACATTAGATAAGAACTTCTAGGAAAACGGAGGTCCTAGAGAAAGCTTACAACTTAGTCCGCTGCTCTAGTGCTACAGATTGAGGCAAATAGGGACGTCTGACCTCCAGCTGCTCAACACTTACCTCCCAACCCAAATCCACAACTTTCACCAAATGTTATCGAACGCCAATCGAAAAGCTGTCCCATTTACATCACCCACACGCCGTACTATAAGCTCTTCCAAGATCTTCTTGAGAACCACTAGTTAGAAGTTCAAATTTTTAATCTCCGTAAGTATTTAGCTTCCTTAGAAAAACTACTTCTTGGATGTCTAAATCTGCAAAACCCAATTCACCGTGTCTGTTCGGTTTATTCCGGAATTTAATTTTTTTTTTTTTACCTATACCAATGACTTTACTACTGTGCAGGAACCGACGAGCTATGTATATACCAAGACTAGGAGTCGAAGACATGGTCACAATCCAAGATCCTTCATCCGAAGTTGCTCTTCCATGGTTGAAAATCACAGATGCTGAGGGAGAGCCGAGAGACGCAGGTCTCCGGCTCTTCAGAGATAATAGCAGCACCCCCGCCCCGCCGCGTCTCTGCGCGACTTTTGTCCTCTAAGAGCGACCCCCTCCCCCTCGAGCGCGGCCCGGGCACCTGCGGCCCCGCCGAGGGCGGAGGAGCCCGGGGGACGCCCGCCCAGCGCAGGCCCCTCCGGAATCGGCGCCCACTCCCACCCTCCGGGCGGACCGCAGGAGGCCGAGCGGCCGGGCGCGGACCCCCCGGTGGCCCGCAGACGCCCGGACGCTGCGGGAGACGCGGGCGGCGACCGTACCTGGAGGACCACGTCGTTGGGCAGCTGCGCGGCCCGGAACAACTCCAGCACCCGCCCGTTGGCCGCCACCTTCTTGGTGCTCTCGATGTCGCAGTAGGAGAAGAGATCCGAGTAGTATTTCTGCTCCGCATCGCTCAGCGTTAAGCCTTCCATCTTCGCCTCCGGCTCACGGCCGCCCCACCGCGCATGCAAGACCCGGGGCCCGCCCCACGACCCCGGGACGGCGGGGACTGCGCGCGGCCCGGCTTTCTCCTCGCCCCGAAGCCCCCGGGAGCCCGGGCCCCGACCTCACGCGCGCGCGGTGCACCGAGCAACAGGGCCGGAGGTCGTGAGGAGGGGGCCGGCCGAGCTCGGCGCGCCGCCGCCTGCGAGGCCCCGCGCGGTCCCGGGCTCGGCGCGGCGCGCGGCTCCGGCTCAGTGGCCGCGGGGCGGGAGGCGGGGGCCGCGGCGGCGCGAGGCACCGGGTGGCGGATTCCGCCACCGCCCGGGCTGCAGGTTCGAGTCCCCCGGCTCTCCTGCGCCTCCCCCTGGGCTTTTCGCCTCGGTTTTCCCTTCCGTCCACGCCCCCGGAGCGGCGGCACTTCCCGGAAAGTTGTGGGGCTTCGGGTCTAAAGTTTCGGGGTCTCCGGGCTAAGCGCGGCCGCCGCTCCGCCTCTCTTCGCCGCCATTTACTGCGCCCGGCCCGGCCCCCGACGCGCCCGCACCGCCGCTGACAGCGGCCGCGCTCCAGACCCGGATGTGAGGACGGGAGGAGAGAGCGCGAGAGGGAGAGAGAAACACCCGCCGGGCGGGCTCGCCGCTCCCGGGAGAGGGGGCCGCAGCGCCCCCTGGTGGCCGGAGCCCCGCGGCGGGGGGCGGGCCGGCCCGCGCTCCGCCGGACGCGCCGGGACCCCCGGGGCAGCCCGGACCGGGGGCAAAGGCCTGCGGCTCGTTGAGATCGGGAGAACTTAGAGATCCGGGTGGCCGGAGAGATCGTTTCGAAGCTTCTGGCACTCGGGGTCGAATAAACATTCGATTGAAAGGGAACAGTGTTCAGGTATTGCATCCCATCGTACCTTTTTGATGTCAGAAGTTTCTGAGAGTAAGTTCAGCATTTCTGTGCGCTCTGAAAGGCTTTGAATACCCAGTCCCGTTGGGCACTCTCCCTAAACAGGGCTAACACTGCGGCTTAGGTAACTCCCAATCTTGTTTTGAGCCCCCTGTACCTGAGAAACAAAACTGGCTAGAAGGAAAACTGACAAGCTCTCTTCTTTGCACAAGGTCCTTCTGGTCACCGGGAACTTCGTGCTGTGTAGGTTTTTACCATCAACTCTGTAAACCTTTCGTAACTCCCTTTGTGGAAGTCATGGAGTTGCACTGTTCTGTGTGCACCTGACAGCGGGTTCTTCAGATTGCTCAAGCAGATCTTAACAAGCGTTTATATGTAACAAATACGAAGTATTTCAAAAAGAGCAGCTAAGGCAGAATCGCAGATTTGGTTTTTTTATTTTGTCTTCTGCATGTTGCCCCCCAGAGTGCTGATCCTGCAAATTAGTACAGGTTCATGATCTTTTAACTGGAATTCCAAAATTCAAAAAGCACTGTAAGCCCAAAGCTTTTGGGTAACTCTTGGACAGCAAAACCTGACATGCCTCATTTGGAGACAAAAATCTTAGCTCACATGAGGCTATCTATAGTCTTCATGCCACTCAGGATCGGTATTTATTCATTTTACTCCAGGCTTTAATGGGATGTTAATCCCACTGTTAGACGCGTTGCATTACCCTTCTTTGTTTAAAAAAAGACGAGGGACTGGGGAGCGCTGAATATTTTCTAAGTTGAGTAGTAGCATTTTATATATGTACAAATATAATTCATGCCAAAAAGCTCAAATCTTCCTGTCTCTAAAATTTTCGATGTGCCACAGAGATGCCTCCCACAGCTCTAACTGGGCACCTGCCGGAGGTGGTCAGAGCCCCACAGGCGGCCTGTCTTCCCAAGGCACAAAAGGGAGGAGCACCGTGGGTGGGGACTGGCTCCCCTGTCTTCAGCACTGGTTTTCTTCACCCCCTTCCCTAGCCCTTGAAGCTCTTCCCTCCCCCAGGGCCGTCCTTTCTGCCACCTGAGTCAGTCTTCCCCCAGACCTTTGCCCTGCTTGTTCGCTCACACCATTCAGGTCCCTGTTCGCATACCACCTCCTCAGAGCGACCTTCCCCCAACGCCTGACCTAAAACAGCCCTACCGCTGCGCTCGACCCTCTTCCCTGAATTATTTTCCTTTATAGCATTTTTTACTACCTGACATGAAAGTATATATCCATTTAAATTATTAATAGCTAATAATTATGGAGAACTTACTAGATTTCGGTCACTGTTCTAAAACGTAACACGAATGAATTACCATGTTAATCACAACAACCCTATGAAGTAAGCACTTTCAGTATTTTTATTTGACAGAAGTGGAAACTGAGGCACAAATGAGATAAGTAAGTTATAAGCCCCATTGTTGTGAAGTGTGTAGATGTAGGATTCAAAGTCCAGACAGTCTCAACTCCAAAATCGCCATCCTACAGTGCCCTTCTAACTTGTTCACTAAGTCACGCCCCCACCATCCCTGTGTGTACCAGAAAGCATATGTTCATTGTCATAGCTCCAAGGCCTAGTGTGTGGCACGCAGCACCCAAGAATTTGTTGAATAAATAAAGGAACAAATGATATGACGAGCCAGTCAATACCGTGGCCTCCTAGTCGGTCTCCCTAACTCTAGCAACCTCCAGCTCCGCTTCTCTGTAGCGAGCTACAATAATTATAGGATCGCTTCACTTCCAAGTTTTGGGATTCTGAAACTTCCTTTTCAGTCTGTAACATGCTACCCTTTTACCCTCTCACCTCCCATTCCTCCGATAAGCCTGCTCATTATAACCTTTAGGTTCTCCTCTCTCTGTCCAAACACGTAACTCATGCATTCAAAAATCCACTCGGAGCATCTCGTGCCCGGTCTTCTCCTCTGGGACCACTCACTCCAGGGACCGTATTGTCAGCCAGGCCAAGGACAGGCTGCCGCTCCCCAGATGCACTGTCCTTCCTCCCTGACCCTTGCCAAATGCTAATACTGAATTGGCCACACGTGTGTTACATGATGTCAGGGGGGACTCTTCCTGTGGTCCTAAAGCTCTGTGAGGCTTTCCTAATGGAATAGGACATAGAGTAGGAGTTTTCCTGTTGATGACCAAGGGCAAGCTGATAAAAAGTACCACATGTTCTAAAGAAAGACAATCAGGTCAGACCTCCTCTCCCCTAAGTAAGGGCTTACTAAGAAGCAACCAGATGGGCCCTATAGCCAGCAACCACTGCCTCAGCTCCACCGACCCACTCCCCAGGGTCTGGGGGAGGACTCCTGTGTCTGGGTGAGAGCCCGTCCCATGGAGGCAGGGGCGCAAAAAGCAGGGAGGCCCCCAAAAGGGAGACCTTCTCGGCCTCCAGCCGGATACTGGGTGGGCCTGATGCTGGAGGGTTTGACACTTTCACAAGTGAAAGAGTTTTTTCTCTATATCTGTCACTTAAATTTATATTTCCAGGTTTGAAGGGGAAAGAAATGATTTAACACATGGGCTCTTTGAGGTCAAGTCTATTTTCTTTCCTTTACATTTCTAGACATATCAATTTTAAAAAGTGACATCAGGAGAAAGCTATTTTAAAACAGATGGTCCTTATTATTACATAGCTACACATTTAAAGGTGTGGGTTTTCAGGTAAGATAAAAAAGTTGGTTACTGCCAGCAAATATCAGCTGTTTTTTTCATTGGAAATCTTTAAGTTTTTAAAAGAAACCACATACATTACAATTTACTATTTCTGGTATGCAGTTCTCTGAGTTCTGACGAACATGTACAGTCACGTAAGCCCCAGCAGAAGCAGATGCAGCGCCATTCTGTGCCCCACCCCCCACTCCCCACTCCTCTATAGTGCCCCTTTGTACTAACTCCACTCTTCACTCTCAGCCCCTGGTTACTACTTTTTTACTATTTCCATACTTCAGCCTTTTCCAAAATGTCGTATAAATAAAACCAAAAGGCTGTGATCTGCAGCCTTTTGAATCTGGACTTGTTTCACATAACATAATGCATTTGAAATTCTTCCACATTCTTGCTTGTATAGTTGTTTGTTTGTTTGTTTTTATTGCTGCATAGTATTCTTTTGAATAGATAATTACAGTTTGTTCATTCATTCACTACATGAAAGATGTTTAGGTTTCTTTCAATTTAGGGTGATTATTAACAGAGACACTGTAAACATGTATATACAGGGTTTTGTGCTGCTTTAAGTCTTCATTTTCAGGGGGGGTGAATACCTAGGAGTGAAATTATTGAGTCATATGGAAAGCTATGTTGAACTTCAAGGAAATGGCCACACTGTTTTCTAAAATGGCTGTGCCATGTTGTATCCCCACCAGCAATACCCAGAATTTTAGTTTCTCTTCACCCTCACAAAGCATTCCAACATCACTGTCATGGGCCATTCCAACATCACTGTCATGGGCGCATAGAAATATCTCACCGTGATTTTAATTTGCATTTTCCTGGTGACAAATAATATTGAGCATCTTTTCATGTGCGTATTTGCTATCAGGATATCTTCTTGGGTAGAGTGTTGAAAATCTTTCCCATTTTTTATTGGGTTGTTTATTTTCTTACTGTTAAGTTTTGGAAATTCTTTTTTTTTTTAATTTTTATTTATTTATCTTTAGAGGGGAAGGGAAGGAGAGAGAGAGAGAAACATCAATGTATGGTTGCCTTTTGTGCGTCCCCTGCTGGGAACTGGCCTGCAGGGAACCGGCCTGCAACCCCGGTATGTGCCCAACCCGGTATGTGCCCTGACTGGGATTTGAACCACGATTGTCTGGTTCGCAGGCCTGCGCTCAATCCACTGAGCTACACCAGCCAGGGCTTGGAAATTCTTTATGCATTTGTGATACAAGCCCTTGTCAGATACGTGATTTGTAAGTATTTTCTACAAACTGTGGCTTCCCATTATATTTACTTATTGGTATCTTTGGTAGAACAGAATTTTTAAAATTTAGATTAAGTTCTACTTAAGGGTAACTCAAAAAGACATTAATGAGGGCAAATCCATTAGACAGAATTTCAGTTAGTGCACCTGGTCATTCAATTTGTATGAGAGAAGTCACCTGCCCTGGCTGGGTAGCTCAGTTGGTTAGAGTGACATCTCCCTACATGCCAAGGTTGTAGGTTTGATCTCCAGTCAGGACACATAAATAAGTGGAACAGCAAATTGATGTTTTTTTCCCTCGAATCCATAAATTAAAAAAGGAAGGAAGGAAGGAAGGAAGGAAGGAAGGAAGGAAGGAAGGAAGGAAGGAAGGAAGGAAGGAAGGAAGGAAGGAAGGAAGGAAGGAAGGAAGGAAGGAAGGAAGGAAGGGAGGAGAAGAGAAAAAGTGGCCCAAGATAAGAACAGATATTAAACCCATGGAGAATGACAAATGGTTGGGCTGGTAGGGCAGGGGCTTACTTCGGAAGGACCAGGGAGGACGAGGTCTGAAGGACAGCTTGGGACTGAACCTACCAGAAGGGACATGAAGTGTGACTACCTTTGCACTGCATGTTTGGACGCACCAGAAAGCATCCGCTAGGAAGGAGGCACAAGGTAACCAAGTAGGCAGACGACTTGGCCAGTCGATGTTAGGCAGCCTCTGCTATCAGCCACCT